TCTGATTGTATTGTTGTATGTCAATGAGAGATGATTTTGAGAGGGTCCCCTACCCGCCTTATATAGTCTGGGGAGCAGGGTTACAGATCTGGAAACTAATCCTAACCAGTTACAATTGCCATAGGTGGCCGGATAAGGATTCCTATTCTAACCGACCAGGATCTTGCTTGATCTCTAAGTCTGCCTTGATTCCTTGCGCGGGACTCCAAGCAGATTGGCCGGGCCGCACGCCGTCTTCTAGTGGGCCAAACCCCTTGGTCCGGGCTGGCCCAATCCTAGCCGTAAGGGTATAGGGGTTAATACTCCCACACTCATTAGTCTCTGAATCTATTACACCTACAGCAACTAGGTACATCCAGTTATTTCCATCTACCGCACAAGCAATGCACAACTGTCCTTTGAACTTTCTTGTTAAAAATGTACTATCTACTGCCAAATAGGGTCTACAACCTTGGAGGAATCCATCATCACAAGGTTTTAAAGCAAAAAAGAGCCTACTAAACCTTATCTTGTTGTTGATGGTATGGTGATCAATTACTACAAAGCTTTCAGGACAACATAAGTCAATCTGTGTCTTAAACCTATACAAGTTGTCAAAACTTTCTTTCCAAGGACCATAAAGCTAATCTAGAGCAAGATTTTTACCATAGTAGACTCTCTTGTAGTGCACCATCACTTTGTAATCATCCTTCAACCTTCTCTGAAGCTCCTTGGCACCCACGGTTGCATCTTCCTTAAGCCAATCAATAACCTTCTCACAGACCCAATACTTGGTAGCTCCTTTAACCTTGCCAACTCTTCTGGTGCTATGGCATGTATGAGGAAATGGGTTCTTCTTCACCTACAAAGATATATACCCATACTCATAATTAAAGAAAAAGACACAAAATCAATAAAAATGATTATGGCAGATGCATTTGATTACCTTAACTATGACATTATCACCCATTGTTGAGGGATGAATTCTCCACTTGTAGCCCTCAGCCTTCCCAATGCAGTTAACCCTGTACCTCCCTGGACCACTCTTCTCAATGTCATATTCAAACTCATGCTTGATGGCATGTGAAGCTAAAGCCAATCTAAAAACAGACATGCTTGGATAGATACTACCTACTGACATAGGTGGGTCATCTTTGTCATAGTATACTTCTGTGATATGAGAAGGCACCTTATCTTCTACTATGTCATCTACCTCATAATCATCATCATAGTCTGAGTCAGATTCAGAGTCTGTCCTAGGATGGTAATTTTCATCTCTATCAGCATTTCTGTTCACATTGGGCTGTTGTTGCATATCTATGTCAATGTACAACCCCTCTTCATCCACACCAACATGTTCATTGCCTGGTTCAGGATTCACATGGTACTTGTCCACACCCTCCTCTTCAAACCGATAAGATTGGTTTGGTGAAGATTGGGATCTTGGCAATGATTGCTAGGTTCAATAAACTTTGGTTGATGTCCGGCCTGGGTCTATTTGGCTTGGAGGCGCTAATGAGGGTGTGTGCGGGGGATTTGTCTTGATCCTTGATTACTCTTGTCCCAAGATGGGATGCTAGGTGGCTCACTATCAGGACTAAAGTAAACAACTAACACCAAACAACACTTAGTATCCTTATGTTTTCCAAACATCTGAACTAACTCTTGGTCACAACTGATTTCAATGTTGGTCTTACTGTTAGCATAGAAGTAGAAGACCTTAGCTACATCACCATAACTGCACAGATACTTGTCCAGAATCTCATCAACAAAGTATTTGAAATTTGTAATGTCAGCATCGACAACTTTGTTAATAGAAAACCACCGTGCACACGATTTGGAAGAAATTATCCTTATTTCTAGGTTGTAGCTAGTCTTTAGGTCCATCCTACAGATGGACAACAACGAGTTTATGTACATCTACCAGCAATACAATGAAATAAGAACCAATCCAATAGGAAAAAACTCACCCTACTGGGAGCCAGACCAGAGGGACACCCCCTCCATTGTCCGTCATTCCTCCTCCTTGCCCGGTCCAATCCGCCCCCAAAACTTAGATCCGCCCTCCTCCTACCCAAGGGATGCGAGATGAGGGGGGATATGCTTGGTTTCTTCCCTACTGGCCCTTGTTGCTAGGTTTTCGGTGAGGAGCAGAGAGAGCTCGAGTGAAAGGGAAGGAGAGACAGAGAGATTTTGAGTCAGTCAACGAAGAGTGAGAGAGACAAGAGAGTTAAGCCTAGAGATGGAGGGGTACCATGGACATTTGCACTCGGACCCACTTGACAGAGCCAAATCCCCGTTAAAACAAGGGCAAAAGCAACGACAGTGGCACTGAAGGAATAAAAGTTTGGAGCTGTGTCTGAGAAGTCTATGAAACTTTTTTAATGGCACGCTAGGAATTGCGATATTTTATAATGGCCTAGAAGTAAAAGGCTCTTTTCCCTTTATGCCATGGTTGAAAGCTCTAGTTTGGTTTTGGTGAATTGATGAAACCCTAAGTGCTAACCTAGTTTATCAAGTGATCATAAGATAGGTAGCACATTCCAAGTGGTGAAGCAAATGAAGATCATGACATGATGATGGTGATGTCATGGTGATGATCAAGTGCTTGGACTTGAAAAGAAGAAAGAGAAAAATAAAAGGCTCAAGGCAAAGGTATAAGTGGTAGGAGCCAATTTGTTTTTGGTGATCGAGACACTTAGTGAGTGTGATCACATTTAGGATCGAAAGCCATACTATTAAGAGGGGTGAAACTCATATCAAAATACGGTTATCAAAGTGCCACTAGATGCTCTAACTCATTGCATATGCATTTAGGATCTAGTGGAGTGCTAACACCCTTGAAAATATTTGTGAAAATATGATAACACACATGTGCACAAGGTGAAACACATGGTGGTTGGCACATTTGAGCAAGGGTAAGAAACTTCATCGGCGCCCTATATAGAAAAGACAGGGTCTCACAGAGTGGACCAGACGCTGGCCTCAACTGGACCGGCGCGCCCGGTCAGTGGAAGCAGTGAAGACGCTAGCGTCGGTCTTCGACCGACGCTGGGTCACTTCGTGACCGGACGCTGGCGGGGTGCGTCTAGTCCCACTGATGTGGCAGCGCACAGAGGAGACGTTGAGTGATCGGACGCTGGGTGAGTCCGGTTGAGCATGACCGGACGCTTCCGGTCGTGATTTTTTGCCTTTGGAACCTTACTGGAAATGACCGGACGCTAGTATTGGTGCGTCCGGTCACTTTGAGCAGCGCGTCCGGTCACTACTTAAATGTACTGATGACCATTGAGATCGGACGATCAGCGTTTGAAGTCGATGACACATGGCAAGCATCGGGCGACCGGACGCTAGGGTCCTACGTCTGGTCGATCAGACCGAAGCATCCGGTCACCCTGAGCAATGCCCAGTGAAGGGGTACAATGACTCTATTTCATAGGGGCTTCTATTTAAGCCCCATGGTCGGCTCTAGCTCACTCTCTTGACCATTTACATTGATATAGCAACCTTGTGAGCTTAGCCAAAGCTCTCCCACTCATCTCCATCATTGATTCATCATCTTTGTGAGATTGGAAGAGAATCCAAGTGCATTGCTTGAGTGTTTGCATCTAGAGGCACTTGGTGTTCGTATTTCGCTACGGGATTCGCTTATTACTCTTGGTGGTTGCCGCCACCTAGATGGCTTGGAGCAGCGAGAATCGTCGAGCGGATGTTGGTGATTGTCTCCGGCTCCGATCGTGATGATTGTGAGGGATTCTTGACCTTTCTCCGGCGGAGAGCCAAAAGGTACTCTAGTGAATTGCTCGTGGCTTGTGTGATCCTCATCTTGTGTTGGTTGTGCGGCACCCTATCGAGGGTTTGGCGTGTGATGCCAATTAGCGCGTGAACCTCCAAGTGAGTGAATCGCCACAACGAGGACTAGCTTGCCGGCAAGCAAGTGAACCTCGATAAAAAATCATTGTGTCATCATTTGATTTCGAGGTGGTTGGTCTTCATTGGTATTCATCTTTGTGATTGATTGGTTTACTCCTCGACATGGCGGTATAACTATCTTACTCTCTCTCTTTACAATACCGCAAACTAGTTGTCAAGCTCTTTAGTGTAGCTAGTTGTGAGAGCTTGTTAGTTTGGTTAGTGTGGCTCTTTAGTTAGCTTTTGAGAACACACTAACTTAGTGTAGTGTCATAGCTATTGTGTGGATAGAAACCATATAAACTAGAATTATGATAGGTGGCTTGTATTTTTAGTAGGCTAGCGCAACACTTGCTTCGCCTATAATTATCTAACCAGTTTGCTAAGTGTTGTTATATAAATTTTTTAATAGGCTATTCACCCCCTCTAGCCATTAGGACCTTTCAATGATGAAGACTGGTCAACGAACCACAAGCAATCAACGGCCCATGGGTCGACAGCACTAGAACGACCTCCACAGGCTAGTATTATTGGCCTATGGGCCTTGACCTTGCACTTACTATTTTGGTGCCACTTAATGGCCTTTTATCTCACTGCAAGAATTTTAGTACGTTACTAATATTGGGCATCCTCCATGAAGTAGAAGCCACAAACATTCTGCCAGCCAAAAATCTCGAGAAGGCCAGAATTATCTGAACTCTAAATATTTCACTAGCTGTCATGTAACTTATATCCCTCATTCATGTAATTTCATTGCTCATAGCTTAGCTGCTCTTGGGGCAAGTTTGAGTCCGGGTACAAATCCGATCAAGGATTGTACTCCAAATTGTATTGATGTTTCTGGTAGCCATTGATTTGGCATCAGGTCATGAGTAATGGAGATCCTCTTCCATGTTCAAAAAAAAAAATATTGTAGAAAAATAAACCTGAATTCTGAATAAGAATCCTATAACCTTTCATATTCAAAGTGTGATGTTACACCTGAATTCATATACACGTGTATTGGACATACAAACATTTACACACAATATTGCAAGTGCCTGAGGCACTTTTCAGTGCCACTGGTTGTTCCACCTCATGGAGACATTGTGGAATTGACATATTAGGGGTTATGACTTGGCTTCAACAGCTGTTGTGTCGGAGCTGACAGTGACGCATGGGAACCAATATCTTTGCTTGTCGTCTCTATGCCCATCGTCGATCATAGCAAGCCCCTCCTGCTCAGTCAGGAAGAGTTGTTACACTTCCGCAAGGTTGAAATCAGATAATTTCCATAAGCCCATGTCCACAGGCATGCATGGATGCAATTATGTATCTACATGGATGACTCCAGCAAATTGCAAAGATCGACTGTGGATTCATCACCACGAAACATGTATTAACAATAAATGATATCTTTTTCCTTTAGCATAGAAAAGATCCATATAGGATGTTGTTGTCATAAGGAAACTCAGGAAGCAGTATTACCTTCAGCAAGGTTTCAAGGGCATCAATTGCACGCCCAGTAGACCATGAGAATTCCCTTTCGACTTGTTCTACCGTGACATAGCCCTCAGCCTACATAGCAATGATGTTATAAGCATAGAGGAACCTAATAAGAAATTTAATGCTTCAAACCTACTCTTGTTTACTAATATATATAGCTGCTATAGATGGGCCTTTGTTTGACAACATGATAATTGGCATTGCTTCTATAATGTACTCACATCAAATATTACAAGCATAAACCTGAGCTAGCCCAAGTATCCCATTGTGGTCTTTATTTAACTCGGTAGGAACTGAACGCACAAGCTTCCTCCTCCCAACAAAAATTACTTCAAAACCACTGCCAAGGACCTGTGAATCCACAAAGGATCAGATGAGATACATATCTTACTGAGTATATCAAATTCGTTTGTACTAAACTAACATCTGTTAATTAAAGTACGAACTCATAGAAACAATCTACATGCAATTCCAAAGTTCCAAGATAAATCATAAATGGATCATTGAAGCTTCATAGTCTTACTTTTAGCTTGCTTATAGCACGTAAACAATCATCTTCAGATAATGATTCAAGGGTAGTCTTTCTCTTCTGACCAAGCAGTTTGCGGAGATCCAATAAATCAATCAGGCCACCATTATGCGATCTGGTTGCAATGCATATGTCAACTATCTGAACTCCTGCCACAATAGGCATCAATGGTAAGCATACCAGATTTTACTTCCATGACCAGAAGAACGCTCAAGAAAGCTTAAAGTGAGTATGCCAACCAAGTTCATAGTAGAAGTCACCAATCCCTAGAAGTTCTGCCTAGACTCCTTTATTCGATGCCAATGGATCTACTCCAACTTTTGCACACATCTCATGAAACTGCTGTCTAAATACTGGGTTTTTACGGATGTCACTCTGCAATAGCACAATATATGAACATGTAACATTACCAGAGAGAATCTGAGTGCACTTTGCCATTTGAAATTTGAGGTGACTTAATAAGGCCATGTCGAAGGAAAATACTATTTCTTCAGGTTTTTGTTTCCATTGACTTCTTTTGTGAGAACAGGGTTGTTGACAAAATTGATATTATATATAAGTTACTCCATGACTTATTAGAAAACTCTCACTTGAAATCTATAGGTTATCATATTTGATTGCTTCATTTTTTCAGTTATGTACTAAGTTTCTGTTAACACTTGATTGGTATTAAATCTAAGAGGGCCATGTTTAATACAATAGCAGTTGCTGCATCATCTACATATTTTCTAAAGTACAACCATTTCATTTCTAGTTAAGGAAGCAAACAATACATACAAGCATAAATAATGTTTTTTGGAAGGAATATTGGCAGGACAGCTGCTCATTCATTTAGCAGATGAGTTTAAAACAGAGAGTTTACAAACCTCATGGATTCTCCCAATCCCAGGCAGGCCATGAGGTATAGCGTTGATCTTACACTTATAATTACATAAAAGATGGGGTAATCCAAATCTATATCATCATTCAAGAAGCCAACGGATAATTTGCAATTTTAGGCATATAATAATTGTCATTAGGCTTTCTTTCTCCTTCGACATTCAACTAAATACAGTAGAGTGAATCACCTTATGCTTGCGAGCAAATTCCTCGAGTTGTGATCGGAACGTCGCAAGCTGCTCCTTCATGACATCGGTCCTGACCTTCGCCACATGTGGCAGAACCATCTAATTTAATGCTTCTCAGGAGTACTTGTCTTTCATTCGACACTAAATACCCAAGAGAGGACACTAAACTACGCAGTTCCGTCGAGCACACCCTAAGGGAGAACTCGAAAATCTACATTTTTCTATCAGGATCATAAATGAGAATAAAGTTTACAACATTCTTAAGTCATTTCTTACATCACTTTATTACAGTACCAGAATATTACCTTAATTTATTATAACAGCGGAATATAACAATGTTATCAGAGTTACAGAGGAAACATGATTAATTTAATGACATAGTGGAGCATTATCATAGTGGATATTTTTATACAAGAGATGCTAGCAGATTTTACATCTTTTCTTATAAAAATCTTTCGTGAGGGTTATAAATAAACACTACGGTCGTAGCGTGAAAGGAATCCTCTCTGAGCCCACCAGGAGGTTTCCACACACAAGAGTCAGCTCTAAGTATCCTCCGATCACCTGCAACAGGGGAATAAAACCCTGAGTACTCGATTGTACTCAGCAAGACTTACTCAATAGGAGAAAAATAAAAGACTCCAAGAATATGCAAGGCTACCTGACTTGTGGGTTATTGCATCTGCGGAAGCATTACTAAATATGCATCCTTATATTCAATTTTATTAGCAGTCATCAGTAGTTCATTAACTAACCATTCTATGTAAGCACCTATGCTACTTTCAAGAAGGTGGTAAGCAATCAGAACCATTTTATCACCTTTTAAGTTCTAGTTCTTACTATGGTGCTAGACCATAGCCAAATCGTACCGTCTCACAGAAATAGCGATTCACGAATCAATGTATCCCAGCTGGATACCCCGAAACACACGCCCCGCTTGTGCCCACAAGCAAGACTAACCCATTCCACTCCTATCATGGGGTCCAGGTCCCCGTCCAAACTTGGACTCCAAGCCCCCACACTTGAGACCCGATCTCAATATGGTGCTTAGACCTCCGCCTTTCTCCACCCCCAATCAGTTAGTCGGAAAGAGCCAGAACCCACGACAAGAGCATAATGAGCATTCCCGCTCCCATAAGCAAGTATGTGCTCAGGATAATAAGTCTGTGACCTAACTACCATCCACAGCAATGGACGGTCCTCAATCGACATAGGTGGAACAAGTACAATCCGAGCCTCGCTCGAATGCCTAACCAAGTCCAGATCCAAAGTACCATTCCGCCCTATCTCCAATTATCATTCATATATGTTCTATGTGACAGTAATATAATAACAACTATAATATCTTTCCTATCTCTCACGAGTGACAAGTAATCACTCGACTTCTACCGGATCATATAGCATAGCAATCTACACGATCCTGACATACTAGTAGGACTCATAGGATAAGGATATATATACATGCAAGTGATTTTCATTCAACTCCTTAAAACTTAATGCACAAGCATAAGATAAAGTGCAGAATAATAGGGGTTATGCACCGGGGCTTGCCTGGGCAAGATATAACCAAGAATTAGCATTCCATTGGTGACACAATCATCAAGGCACCATCTTTTCTACTACTCCGATCATTTCCACGATCCATCATTGTTCCTTTTATGACATACGTGGTTGCAACGCAGCAACACAATTAATCAACGGTAACCGTAACTTTTAAAATACGATTACGCCTCTCAAGCTACGAGCTAACTCTAACGACTAACGTATTAGGCTACGTTCCATGTTGTCAAGTAAGGCTTTATTTCCCAACAGGTGTTTTAGTCCTAAACTCTCAAGGTGTTTTGGTATTTTATTGATTAAATATATTTTTTTGAACTAGGACTCATTTAGCTACCCCAGCAAACTGATTATTATGGAGCTACAAAAATTACAGTGAGCACCTAATAATGTTAGGAATTTACTGTGAAAGTTTCAGAGCCAACACTATCACCAATTTATCATAAAAATTCCTTCAAGTTTATATCTTACAATATTAAGCATCTCAAATTAATTATATAAATCCTAAAAATATTATAAAACTATATGAACAAAATATACTAACAGATAGATCATAATTTTAGGAACCTAACAAAATTTATTTCACAATTTTTGGACATCTACATGATTTTAGATTAATTACACAAAACTGGTTCTTAAATAAAAATATAAAACTATTTCTAATTCTTTACTAAAAAGACAAACCAAACTAGCCCAACACGGCTGAAAGCTCTAGTTTAGTTTTGGTGAATTGATAAAACCCTAAGTGCTAACCTAGTTTATTAAAGTGATTATGAGATAGGTAGCACTATTCGAAGTGATGAAGCAACAATGAAGATCATGATGATGGTGATGCCATGGTGATGATCAAGTGCTAGGACTTGGAAAAGAAAAAAGAAAAAAACAAAAAGCTCAAGGCAAAGATGAAATTGATGGAAGTTTTTCGGTTTAGTGACCGAGACACTTAGCAAGTGTGGTCACATTTAGGATCGATAGCCGTACTATTAAGAGGAGTGAAACTCGGATCGAAATGCGGTTATAAAAGTGCCACTAGATGCTCTAACTCATTATATATGCATTTAGGATCTAGTGGAGTGCTAACACCTTTGAAAATGTTTGTGAAAATATGCTATCACATATGCACGAAGTGTCACACTTGGTGGTTGGCACATTTGATCAAGGGTGGTGAAGTTTAGGGTCAAAAGGAGCTATTTAATATTGATTGGACTCTGCCTTGGGCAGTGACCGGACTCTAACCCTGCGCCCGGTTAGTGGTGCGCAGTGAAGGCCTCCCTCGGTCCTTTCACCGAACGCTGAGAAGAAATAGGACCAGATGCGCCGGGGGTGTGTCCGGTCAGGCTATGACGTACGCTGCCGCAAGCATCAGAACTGGCTAGTGAGGACCGGAGCCTGAGATGCGTCCAGTCACCTATGATCGGACGCGTCCGGTCATGATTTTACCTCTCTAGAACCTTACTGGAAACGACCGGACTCCAGTGATGGAGCGCCCGGTCACTTTAGGCAGTGCGTTCGGTCACAACTTAACACGTGGCGCGAAGTAGACTAGCCGTTAAGATCAGGCGCTTAGTATTTGAGGCTGATTACACATGGCGAGCATCGGGCGACCAAACGCTAGGGTCCTGTGTCTGGTCAACCTGACCGGCATATCCGGTCAGCCCATGTTTCACTGGACAGAGGAGCCAACTGCTCTATTCGTGGGGGCTCTCTATTTAAGCCCCATGGCCGGCTCAAGCTCACATTCTTGGCCATTTGTATTGATATAGCAACCTTATGAGCTTAGCCAAAGCCCTCCCACTTATCTCCATCATTGATTCATCATCTTTGTGAGATTGGGAGAGAATCCAAGTGCATTGCTTGAGTGTTTGCATTTAGAGGCACTTGGTATTTGTGTTTCGCTGCGAGTTTGGCTTGTTACGCTGCAGAGGTTGGTGATTGTCTCTGGCTCCGATCGTGGTGATTGTGAGGGGTTCTTAACCTTTCCCCGGTGGAGAGCCAAAAGGTACTCTAGTAAATTGCTCGTGGCTTGTGTGATCCTCATCTTGTGTTGGTTGTGCGGCACCTTATTGAGGGTTTGACGTGTGATGCCAATTAGCGCGTGAACCTCCAAGTGAGTGTATCGCCACAACGGGGACTAGCTTGCCGGCAAGCAAGTGACCCTCGGAGGAAAAATCATTGTGCCTTGATTGTCTCCTTGGTATTCATTGATTGATCACTTGCCAAGGTGGTATACCTCTCTATCACTCTCTTGTATTTCATTGTACATTCATTTATATAGAGCTTGTGGTAGTCAAGACTAGATAGTGTAGTACTTAATTGTATCACTTTTGCTAGATTGATCACCTAGGTGTAAATTCGAGACATAGCCTTGTTGTGAAATACTAGAGATCATAGAAAATAGAATTGGGTAGGTGCCTTGCAACCCCAAGTATAGTGCTATAGCAAAATTTTCTTCGCCATCTTATTGACTAATCATTTATCTTAGTGTTGTTGTAGAAATTTTTAATAGGCTATTCACCCCTCCTCTAGCCATTAGGACCTTTCAAGTGGTATCAGAGCCGTGGTCACCATGATTTGAGGCTTAATAACATTCGGTGTCAAAATGGCTCAAATCAACAACACCAAGAAGCCACCCCAATTTGATGGCTCAAACTATCCCTATTGGAAGGCTAAGATGACAACATATATCAAGTCAATCAATAGGAAGGTTTGGAAAGTGGTGGAGACCAAGATTGAGATAGAAGATTCGAAGAACCCCACCGTCGCTGAAGAAGTGCTTCTCCAAAACAATAACATTGCTCTTAGTGCCATTCATGATGATATTGATGAGAGAACATTTGAGCAAATCAAGAACATTGAGATGGCTCATGAAGCATGGAAGAAGTTAGAGAAATCATTTGAGGGCACTTAAGCCGTGAAGGGTGCCAAGGCATATATCCTCAAGGAGAAATTTTCTAGTTTCAAGATGAAGGAGGATGCGAGTGTACTAGAGATATTCCATAGGTTACAAGTGCTTGTCAATGATCTCAAAGCACTTGATGAGAAGGTGGAGGACAAGGACTTCTCCCATAAGTTCTTGAGATACTTACCCTCAAGATTTGGCACATTGGTCACTATTCTAGTGAGGAGTAGTTTGGACACCATGACACCAAACCAAGTGTTGGGAGATATAATGACCGATGATACATATAGAGATGATGATGAGAAGGAAGAAAAGAAGGAGAAGAAATATGAGAAGAAGGATGAGAAGAAGAAGAGTGTGGCATTCAAGGCCACATCATACAAAGGGTAAGGCAAAGCAAGATACATCAAGTGAAGATGAAGACATGAGCTTTGATGAGATGGATGATGAGAAGATGGCTCTCTTTGTTTAGAGATTTGGCAAGTTCATGATGAAGAAGGGATATCGTGCTAGAAGAAAGAAGTCTTCATCCAAGAACAAGGAAGAGTCAAGAAGGTGCTTCAATTGCAGAAGCAAAGATCATCTTGTTGCTCAATGCTCATAC